GGCCATGCTGCACTTCTTGAACTCTAGGAGGAAAACAAAGGACAGGTCCAGGTAAAAAACCAGGTATTTGCTGCTGCCGCCGTTGCGGCCGTCGCTCCGGGGCTCGTCCCTTTGCAAGCCGGGGCCCGCGGGGGCACCGGCACCGGTGGCGCGTCGGCCTCCTTGCCGGCGGGGTCCGGCTGTGCCGTAGAAAGCGCCCGCCGTGAAGCCCCGGCTGAACCGCTTGCCCGTCGGCGAGGCTTTGGCGAAGTCCGAGTCTTTGCTCTCCAGAGACGGGCTCCGGCGGATGGAGGAGTCTTCGCTACTCGACTTCTCCATGCTCGGTGCGGGCTGCTGCTGCGGCGGCGGCGGCGGGCATCGCCCGGCCAAGCCGCTTTCGGCCTCCCCCTACAGCCTGGCCCGCATCGCCAGCCCCCTCCTCCTCCTCCTTCCTCCGCAGCCCCCTTTTTCAGCGGAGGGAGGGCGGCCCCGCCGGCTCGGCTTTCCACGCCCGGGGTCGAAGCTGTGGGGGCGGCTGAGGGGGCATGGCGCGACCGCGGGGTGTGGGGGTCTTCCTCACGGCCGCCCCGACATGACTTGGCGCTTTGCTCCCGCTCGGGAAGCTGAGAGAAGAGAGGGCAGCAGCAGGTGCAGGGAAACTGAGGGAAAGGTCCGTCGGGCTGACAGGAACGGCTTCCCGCCTGGCCCCGTAGCTGCGACCTTCACGAACACCACCACCCGCTCCTTTCACCGAGCCCCCGCGCTCGTCCCGAGCCGCCGGGCTCTCTCCGCGCCCGACTGAGGTGCCCGCTCTTAAATAGTCCTCCTTTCCAGCCCCGCCCCTTTCGCTCTTGGGGCGGCCAATGGCGAGGGGCCTTTCATCCCACGCGCGCCGGGACGAGCCCCCCCCCCCCGCCTCAAATAAATTTAAAATTAAAAAAAAAAATGACACGAGCGCTTTCATAGGATTAGCGCTCCTGGTTTTTCTGGCCTATAGAAGTGCACGAGGGGGGACGGCGGAGGCTTCCTTAGCCGTGTATGAACATGAAAGGGGACGGGAAGGGCGGAGGGGGGGGAAGGAGGGGGAGGTGATCCCTCAGCCGTCATGCGGAACCAGAAGCCGGCATCTTGTGGCTTGGATTCCCTCTCTGACCGACTTAGATCTGGACCGGGAGGCTCGAATTTCTAGCAGCTTCTGCCAAGGAATCGGGTGGCCAGGCGGTCGCGCTGCTTTAATGCAAGGTGCGGGCAAGTCACTCCAAGCGGGTGGGAGGCGGAGGTGCCAAAAAACCTGCCCTTCAATATAGGGGGGATACGGGATAATAAGAGTTGGAAGGGGCCTTGGAGGTCTTCTAGTCCAGCCCTCTGGCCTAGCGGTACTGAAGAACGCTGGGAATACAGGTACTCCTCGACATACGACCACAATGGAGCCCAAAACTTTGGTTTTTACTATCTTCCTTGCCACGGTTGTTAAGTGAGTCACTGCAGTTGTTAAGCAAATCTGGCTTCCCCGTTTGACTTTGCTGGTCAGAAGGTCGCCAAAGGGGATCTTGTGACTTTGGGACACTAACTGTCACTCCCTTTAGGTAGTCCTCCACTTACAGCCACAATTGAGCCCAAAAGTTTACTGCTAAGTGAAACACTTGTTAATTTTATCCCCATTTTACAACCTTTCTTGCCATGGTTGGTTAAGTGAAGCATTGCAGTTGTTAAGTGAATAAGACAGTTGTTAAGTGAATCATTGTAGTCGTTAAGTGAATAAGACAATATTTAAGTGAATCATTGCAGTCGTTAAGTGAATAAGACAATTGTTAAGTGAATCATTGCGGTCGTTAAGTGAATCATTGCAGTCGTTAAGCGAATCTGGCTTCCCAATTCCCTTTGCTTGTCAGAAGATTGCAAAAGGGGATCATGTGACACCCCCCAGGGAACTGCAACCATCATATGAAGCACTTGTTAATCCTCTGAATTTTGATCACGTGATCACGACGGTCGTAAGCGTGAAAAACTGTCCTTTTTTTTCCCCCAGTGCTGTTCTAAAGGAATTGTTGTGCCGGTAAGTCGAGGACTATTCTGTACAGAAGAACAGAATGGAAAGGACCTTGGCGGTCTTCTAGTCCAGGGGTCGCCAACCTTTTGGACCTCAGGGACCACCAAACTCATAATTTTAAATCCCAGGTGGACCAGAGACCCTGGGAAAATCCCCAAAAAAGTCTGCCGGAAAATTCCCCACCCCATTTTCCTACTGATCGATCAGTCATTCTTTGAGACTGCAGGATACCGTCTCCAGCTCCATTCTCAGGGAGAGAGAGAGAGAGACTTTGGGCTTCATGCAAGGAAAGCAGCAGAAGTCTTTCTTTTTCTCCCCCAAACTCCACCAGAAATGAGTCTTTGTGAGACTTGACATGCCGGTGCAGCCTCTTGGAGCAGGATGCCCCGCAGGGTCCCAAAGACTCACTTCTGGCGGAGTTTGGGGGGGGAGAAAGAAAGACTTTTGCTGCTTTCCTTGCGTGCAGCCAAAAGCAGAAGAAAGAAGCGGAAAGAAGCAGCCCAACGGCCAGGCAAGATGTGTGGGGCAAATGGGGCAAGTTCCTCCCCTCCGCCCTTCCCCCCCTCCCCTCACTACCTCATGTTGTTCGCAATGCAAGCGACTCAAGCCTTGTGTTCCCATGGGCCATGTGCAGCCTTGTGTTCCTGCGCAGCCTGGATTAATGGCTTTGGGGGTGACATTTCACTGCGGGCCACCAACATTTTCTTGCAGACCACCACTGGTCCCCAGCCCACCAATTGGCGACCACTGTTCTAGTCCAACCCCCAACCCAAACACTAAAGATCCTTGCCAAACCACAATCAGCTGTGGTCCCAAAGCTGTGCTTTTTTTTCCAAAAGGCAACTGGACTTTCTTGGGTTTTTTTTTCTCCTTGAAAATGTTTTATTTCTCATCCAAGAATGATGAGAAACAAAATGTTTACAAGGGGAAAAAAAATAATCAAGGAAGTCCAGTTGCCTTTTGGAAATGTATCTTTGGGACATAACCCTAACCTGGATGACGGAGAACCTCCATAGACATGAAGGTCTGTTTAAAAAAGGGGGGGAACCTGGCTTGGCTGTGGCACGCAATCCCTGTTAATTTTGCTTGTCAGAAGTTTGCAAGTGGTGGTCACATGACACACACCCCGGGGACACTGCAACCGTCATAAATGAGTTGGCTGCCAAGCGGCTTTTGATTTTGATCATGTGACAGTGGAGATGCTACAAACAGTTGTAAGCATTGAAAAATGGCCATCAGTCACTTTTTGCCAGTGCTGTGGAAACTTCAAACAGTCACAAAACAAAATGGAGGGTTACCTGTATGCGAAAGGAGTATGTAACAATCGCTTTCGTTGTTTTTTTATTTATTTATTTTGTTGGAAGTTAAAACCCACCCCTCTCCTCCTAGGAAATATTAAAAAGGCAGAATATTTCCCCAGAGGCAGAAACTCAGCCCCACCGCACCACCTTTGCTAATGGGCCATTAAGGCCTTGGCCAGAGTATTTTACATGACAAAGGCCTCTATCCATCTCACCACCTGGCCTGGGAAGACTGCATCAGCCAGCACTCAGGTGAAGCCATGTAGTCCAGACAAAGCCTACAAAGTTAGTTAAGATCCCCGCCCCTGGGAGTCTGACAGCCAATGGGATACATTTCTCACACAGGAACAGGAAACACTAAGGTGGCGCCCAACAGAGGGCATAAAACCCAGGCACTTTCAGCATCGCAGCCCGCCCTTCTTTGGAGCTCCAAGCCATGTGGTCCTGCCCATCATTAAACCGTCTTTCCAAACAGCCTCCATGTTTCCAGTGTCTTTTTCCCCACTTGGAACTGAACCCAGAAGGATAATTCTTCCAACATTTTTTTTAAAAAAAACATGACCTTGGATGATATTTTGTAGCTAGGAAAATGCAGCTTTTGCTAGGGACTGTAATCCCCCCTATACAATTGTCTGAAAACAAAAAAAAGGAAGCAAATCCCCATTGTTTCCTACGGCAGAATATCCCAAATATTTTATTCTGTGCAGAAAGTGTTCTGCACAACTCCACTGAAACCGGCAGATGCAAGACGCATAAACGCTATCAAAAGTTGTCACCTAAGCTGTCCCAACGAGTGGCACCCAGCTGGTTTGCTTATTTTCTCAAGGATGTTGCAGAAAATAACCTGCTGACTGCCGGCTGACTGCAATTTGGCAGTTCGAATCTCGCACCAGTTCAAGGTTGACTCAGCCTTCTGTCCTTCCCAGGTCAGCAAAATGAGGACTCGGGTGGTTGGGGGCATCTTGCTGACTCTGTAAACCGCTTAGAGAGGGCTGTGAAACTGAAGCGGTATATAAGTCTAAGTGCTATTGCTCTCTATCATCTATGGTGGTGCAATGGTTAGAAAGCAGTATAGCAATATGACTGCCCACTGCCAACAGTTCGATCCTGACCAGTTTAAGATTGATTTAGCCTTCCATCCTTCCAAGGTCATTAAAATGAGGACCCAGGTTGTTGGGAGCAATATGCTGATTCTGTAAACTGCTTAGAGAGGGCTGTAAAACACTATGAAGTGATATAGAAATCCAAGTACATGATGGCGAATCTGTGGCACACAGAGCCATTTGTGTTGGCACGCAAGCCGCAGGCGTACCTCACTAGCATGCCCGCGCCTCCCAGCTGATTTTTTTTCGGTTGGTTTGAGGCCTTTTTCAGCCTCTCAGAGGCTTGAAAAAAGCCTCTGCAAGACTTTTCAGGGTAATTATAGGCCTGTTTCATCACTTCCTGTAATATTGGAAGTGACAAAACGGGCCTATAATTCATCCTGAAAAGCCTTGCAGAGGCTTTTTCCAAGCCTCTGGGAGGGTGAAAAAGGCCTTAAACCAGCTGAAAAATCAGCTGTGAGGTGCAGTGCAGGTAAGGGGGGAGGATTGCGTACGCATGCACAGAGGGTGTGGGGAGGGGGGCACACATTGCATTCTGGGGGCTGGCACACGAATACGGGCACGCTGGCACGAATGCAATTTTGGGCACAGGAACCCCAAAAGGTTAGCCACCACTGGCATAGGAGCTCCTGCTTGAGCAAGGGGTTGGTCTAGAAGACCTCCAAAGTCCCTTGCAATTTGGTTGTTCTGTTTTCTTTCCCCCAGAGCATCACAGTAACCAACTAGGGCGCCATATTTCCTCCAAAGGAAGAAAGGACAAGACCCTTCATTGATTGCTTATTTGTACCCTAAGGCTATCATTAAGTGTTATGATTCTTGACGAATGTATCTTTTCTTTTTATGTACACCGAAAGCATATGCACCAGAGACAAATTCTTTGTGTGT